TTATATAAATGAAACAAATTGTCAGCAGTGAGTCATCAGTTTTCATGGACTGATGAAGTATCAATGGCATTTTATCTATTTCCTGATTTATAAAATGTAAAAATAGATCATATGTCCGAATAGAAATTTTCGATCATATTATTACCCTAAGAAACGATGCCTTCTATGGCATAATGCGAAAGTTTTGAGGTAAAATATTAACGTTTCGGGGAAAATTTTACCTGTAATACTTTAATAAATAATTTGAATTATCTATTAAATAATTATTTTCATTATAATTTAATAGTCGAAATATATAAAATTTCGTAGTGAATTTTGCCTGTAATAATTTAATAAATATTTTGAGGTGATCGTAAAAAATTAAAGTTTCGGGGTAAATTTTGCTTGTATTAATTTGATAAATATTTTGAGGTGGTTGTAAAAATTAAAGTTTCGGGGTTAATTTTGCTTGCCATAATTTAATAAATATTTTGAGGTGATCGTAAAAAATTAAAGTTTCTGGGTAAATTTTGCTTGTAATAATTTATTTTTGAGTTGATTGTCAAAAATTAAAGTTTCGGGTGTAAATTTTGCTTGTAATAATTTAATAAATATTTTGAGGTGGTTGTAAGTGTTAAGTGTATGTGTTCATCGGAGCTTGTGACGCGGCACAAAGCTTGCGAGCTTCAATGATGTTGGAGGCTGTAGCTGTGAGAGCCGACGTTTTCTGTTCACCCGATTTGTTTGAAATAGAAAAACTAGCTTGTTTCTTCATGCTTGCCCTGAGGGACGCGTGTTTCCTAGCTGGAGGAGCGAGGTGGAATCGTCCTGAACCTGTGGAGGCAGTGGATTGTTGTTGTGGAAGATTTTCTTGTTCTTGCAAAGATGGAGGGCATCCTGCGTCACCTCCAGCTTCTAAATGATGGTTTAGATTGAACATGTGCAGGACCTCGGCGCCATTACCTAGCAAATGCAACAAAAAACAGTATATGGAGAATCCCATACACAACGAAGACGTCCTTAGCGGCAAGGATACAGGCGCTCAGAGAAATGAGTGAGGCTTTGTCCAAATAGCGATACACTTTGTGGCCTGGGGCCATACTTTCAAAACTCGCGAAGTGAACGTAAGTACTTACGCTCTATTTTCTTGCCCATGATTGGTGGATATTGCTTGAAAGACCGTCAATGATTGGCTGATGAACTTACGATCTCTTAACTTTTTTTGAAAGTATGGGCCCTGGTTTGGGTCATCCTGACTCAGTTTGGTCTGACTCATGAGGGCTTATCAGAGCTCCATCCGCTCTCTGCTAGAGTTTTGGGTTAGACATTGAATCACTATTAGGACAACATGACCCATTCATTTATCCGAATGTAAGCTGAAAGGCATAGAGAGGGCGAATTTAAAAGCTTAAACATTTTATGATGGACTACGGCGCATTGGTGGAGAAACGGCAGCACATGAGAGAGGCATAAACTGACACCAAATAAGATGAATATTTTTAAAATCATTACTTAGTTCAAAACAAGAACACGGCTCATTCAACTCAGATGAGGTCAAAATTATAACAATAAGGGAACACATCGTAGAATGAAAACACATCGTAATAGAGAATAAGGATTTAGCAAGCTTACACTTGAGCACATAAATAACCTTTGGTACTCTTAGAAATAGTGAAGCCGAGGGACTTTTTAAAGCACCTAAGAAAACAGGAATTAATTAATGAAATAAATTCAAAACCCCGCGGAAACAAGGAAAATTCTGGAAGACATCTTGACCCACATTCTTCAATTCTTGACCCACTTTTGGGGCTCCTGTTTATAAAGTAAAAGAAGTCTCATTGTGAACAAGAATAAGTTAATTAAAATGCGTACACCCACTCAAAGAAATGAGTGGGTGTACTTTGTCCATATATCGACGCACTTCTTGTCCTTGTTTGGGCCACCCAGTTTATCTCAGCAACATGGCGTATCAGTGATACGTGCAGAAAGTATGTCACTATTTCGAAAATCTGAACCACTATATTTTCTGAGTAGATCTTCAGTGGACANGAATGGTTTTTAATCATCAGGAAGAATGGTTTGTAATCATCTAGAAGAATGGTTTATAATAATCAAAAGAATGGTTTGTAATCATCAAAAGAATTTAGTAATCATTAAAAAAGAAATAATTAGTCTGCTTAATTATTGTTAATTATTAAATGGTTAGCGTTGGGTGCCTGGGGGAAAGGTAACAGAACGTTAATTACTCAAGTAAGCAAGGTAATCCAGCTTCGACTCTGAAAAAATTTTAAGCTAGGTATCTTTTGGCCTATTTGTTTACTTTATAATATATTCGATTTTTATATTTAAATATTTTATTTATTTATTTTAAAGAAGCTTAAATATGACTGTTTTAAAATGGCAAAGCTTTGGGACTTAGTTTTTAGATTATAAACATGTAAAATATATAATCAAGCGCAACTGGCTGAGAGTAGAGTCAATACGGCAGAAAATTTTAAGTATGACGCTTATATACTGTAGATTCAAATTTCAAAGCCAAAATTTGAATAATTAGTTTTACTCGCTAGATTTGATTTGGGATTTTATAGTGCAGGCAAACTGTTGAATTTCTATGGTGATATCTAGAATGTTAAGCAGAAGGCGAGTAAATTTTAAAAGCGAAGCTGGGAACAAATTATAACGCATTTTCCAGTTTACGGAGGTTTTTGTTTAGTTCTCATCTCGGTATCTAAGTAGACAACTTATTATCCTCACAATTATCGGAAAATTTCAAAAAGCTTATAGAGAAGTTAATTTAGAGACTAAATCACTCGGCAGAACTTTAATCTCTGCGTTAAGAGAGGCAGGTCGTGTGTGTAAACCCGGCTCATGTACACGTCTCATGTACACGTCTCATGTACACGTCTCATGTACACGTCTCATGTACACGTCTCATGTACACGTCTCATGTACACGTCTCATGAACTCATCTTATTGAGACAGCACATTAATCTGTGAACCTGTCTCGCGAACCTGTCTCGTGAACCTGTCTCGTGAACCTGTCTCATGACGTGAACCTGTCTCATGACGTGAACCTGTCGCATGACGTGAACCTGTCTCATGACGTGAACCTGTCTCATGACGTGAACCTGTCTCATGACGTGAACCTGTATCATGGACCAGTCTAATGAACCAATTTCGAAAACCAGTCTCGCGAACTTGTCCCATAGATCAGTTTTATGAACCGTCTCATGAACCAGTCCTATGAACCAGTCCTGTGAACCAGTTCCTTGAACAAGTCCTATGAACCAGTCCCATGAACCAGTCCTATGAACCAGTCCCATGAACCAGTCCTATGAACCAGTCCCATGAACCAGTCCTATGAACCAGTCCTATGAACCAGTCACATGAACCAGTCCTATGAACCAGTCCTATGAACCAGTCCTATGAACCAGTCCTCTGAACAAGTCACATGAACCAGTCCTATGAACCAGTCTTATGAACCAGTCCTATGAACCAGTCCTCTGAACCAGTCCCATGAACCAGTTTCACAAACCCCTCTCATGTATTGGAATAAATTACAAAGATCTAAACAACGTGTGCTCATTCCGATGACGAAGTGTGTGGAACTTTAGGGAACTTTAGTACAAGAAACAAAATAATTAAGAATAAACCATATTTACGAATAAAATTCTTCTTCCCTCTAGAACATCTTGCTTTTCGATAAGAACTGAAGATACAAATTATAATAACAAATTATTATTATGTGAATCTCTCTCTCTCACTCCGTCTCCTTTACTGTCTCTGAGAAACATCTAAGCGCACCAAAAAATGAAACAAATATAGATCAATAAGAAATAACAATCATCATATTTGAAAAACACTGTATAGAAATAACACATATCGTAACAATTGAAATGACGATGAAGTATGAATAACTGTGTAAGTGACTCCATAAGGTCTGCCTCGGGTCACGCTGGAGGCAGCACTCAGAAAAACTGATGAGATTTTGTCTAAATAGCGATACACATTTGCCCTAAAGTGGGTCATCTTGCCCCAGTGCTACTAGCAGCAAGTGTGTCAGTATTTAGACAATGTGACCCATCCATTCATCTGAGTGAGTTCAGCCTCACATGCACTCCGTCATTTCAATAGCAAAGAACAAATTTGTCGTAAGTGGCCGCCATTTTTACTGAGCAGCTTTCAATTTCCATCAAAAATAAAAATATTCGTAAGTGCGAAGTTTTTATTAATTAATTTTTATCTGCTAATTTTTTCTTCGCATTGAATGTATGAGAAAAATAAGTTTGAATTCATTACGAGAACTTTTCACGTTGTTTGTGGTATAAAAACAATTTATTGAATGTCTCAAAATTAAATAGAATTAATATTAATCTAAGAAGATTGTTTAAATTAAGCTTGCATAAAGCGCTTGGTTATTAATATTTATATCGCTGCATTTTATTAAATTTGAAAGCTGGGATCAGTTTTGGCAGTCACACGCGACCATCTCAGAACATTTTATGTTCCAGCTTGCGTGTCGCAAGTAGAAAACAATTTTCGAAGTAATTGTAGTAAGTCATCTTTTTTGGGAAGCTATTTACATTTTTTTGCCTTGGGCCGTCGCTTTTAGAGGCCTTGACAATTTCTGCATTCATGCACACTCAAAAAAATGTATCGAGAAATACACTCAGAATTTTTTTTATTTTCGGAGGCATTGAAGTATTTTTGTTTACTTGACGAATAGTGGGCGAACCAGACAATGATAAAAATCAGGTATCTATGTAATCAAAATCGTAGGCAAGGATTTTTAAAGACTGTCGTGCTTGTCGTTTTTGTTTAAATTTTTTTAAATAAACATCAAAAGATGAGGAAAGAACTCCGGTGAATTCTTGGCAAGAGAAGTAATGTTGTGCAGTGCCTGCTACAGCGCTATTTTCGTGTCTTTTCTGCAGCTGATTTTTAATAAAATTTGGCAAATTTTATAATCAAAACTCAAAATCTGAGCGCTTTAAGAGAGCGCCGGATTGAGGGTAGCTTACCCATCTTCGGTCCCTGGCCTCTGTTGGCAGCATTGGGCCCCCCTTGTCCCCGTTTGGCCCCGGGGGGCGCTGGCCCCATTCTTATGTGTTCGACGGGGCCAATTCTCCTCCTCTTCTTGGGCAGTTTGGCCCTGGCCTGTGTGTGGCTATAATACATAGCAAAGTTCGATACGATGACAGGCACGGGCAGGGCAATAGTTAACACACCTGCCAACGCACACAAGGCACCCACGAACATACCGACGTAGGTCTTAGGGACCATGTCACCGTAGCCCACTGTTGTCATCGTCACCAGCGCCCACCATAGACCCAGGGGGATGCTGTTAAAGTCATTGTGTGGGTTCGCCTGTATTCTTTCGGCGTAGTAAACTAGCGAAGCAAATATCACAATGCCAAGCACCAAGAAGAAAACCAATAATGTCAGTTCTTTGGCTGAGGCTCTGAAGGTTTGGATGAGGATCTTGAGACCCGAAGAATGGCGGGTTAATTTGAATAACCTCATGATTCGGATAATTGAGAAAAATTCTAAAATGTCAGCGTTTTCAAGATGCGAAGCGAACTCTTGTAGACAAATGTCAACGTAGAAGCTCACTGTAGCTATAAAGTCTATCATGTTTGTGGAAGCTTTCAAGAACGCGAATTTGTTCGGCGCTGATATGAATCGTATGAATATTTCGAATGTGAACCACGTGTTACAGATACACTCGATGTAGAAAAAGGCCTGATGGGCCTTTGTGGCCGTTTTATCGAGGGTCCAGGCCGTAGTATTGTCCGGTAATTGTACAGTTCTGTTGCTGATCTCTGGCACCCTCATGTTGGGGTGAGTCTTCAGGCAGAACGATAAGATCGACACGCAGATGAAGAAAACTGAGATTATCCCGATGACCTGCAAAAACAGAAACATATTTTTAATTATAAATGCTTATTGTTTTTATCATTGTTTAATGTTTAAATCATTTACTACAAAAACACCTAGATGTTCCCAATCACCTGCACAAACAGAAGCAAATTTCGAATTATAAATATTTATTGATTGTTTGATCATTGCTCAATGTTTAAATTATTTACTACATGAGCACCAAGATGATCCAAATGACCTGCACACACGAATGAATACTTCATATCAAAAATGCTTTTAACTTTGTTGAATTAATTATTATTTGCTATATATTTACTTTTTAAAGTATCGTTTGAATTGTTTATTAGGAAAACGCCAAGATCCTTGCACATACGAAAAAAATATTAAATTACAAATGCTCATAACCATTTTTTAATCATCAAGAACGAAGTAAATGAAATCGTTCGCTCTTGAATTGTGACAAGAAGATAAGATATAAAACTGTTCATGGTGCAAAAATTTCCATAATATAATTGCAAATTTCGTTCAAATTATTTTCTACTCACTTTAATTTATTTAAATCATTCAGGACGATGGAAAACGGAGACTCATATCAAGAAAATTCTGTACCTGATAGTAGTGACTTCCGATCAGTTGATTTTTTTTAGAAATGCACGTTTATTAAAGCATGTCGAATCTGAAATTATGCTCAATAATTATTTTTTACTTCTAAATCTCCAGTAACTTGCAGAATTTTTATAAAGATACGTTAATTAAGTTCTCGTTCACACACAATTCGCGCGAAACAAGCCGTTAAAAATACGGATGAAAACATGAATAATGAATGTGAATAAATTTAGGGAATACCTTACTAGATCTAGAGGTTAAAAATAATGTATAATTAAATGTTAATAAAATTAGTGAATATACCTTAATTAGATTGAGAGGTTAAAAATACCTAATATTGAACACGAATAAATGCAGTGAATACCTTAATTAGTATTGAGAGGGTAAAAATTACCTAATACTGAACATGAATAAATGCAGTGAATACCTTAATTAGTATTGAGAGGGTAAAAATTACCTAATACTGAACATGAATAAATCCAGTGAATACCTTAATTAGTATTGAGAGGGTAAAAATTACCTAATATTGAACATGAATAAATGCAGTGAATACCTTAGCAGATCGAGAGGAATAAGGCTCGTCAAAAAGTGACCAGAGCTTAGGCTTGAGTTTCTGCCACCAGGATAAATTGCCGGAGTGGAAATCTTCTTCGAAGCCGAACTTTCTGGCGACCTCTTCGTCGTTCGGCTTGTCGATGTCCAAATCAAGTCTGTCCAGCACTGCCAGAGTTTCCTGAGTGTCGCGATGCTGTGGACAGACATTTATTTGTACAACTCTAACTTGCTGTAAAGTGACAACTGTAACTGGCTGATAACTGTAACTGGCTGATAACTGTAACTGGCTGATAACTGTAACTGGCTGATAACTGTAACTGGCTGATAACTGTAACTGGCTGTAAACTGATGACTGTAACTGGCTGTAAACTGATGACTGTAACTGGCTGTAAACTGATGACTGTAACTGGCTGTAAACTGATGACTGTAACTGGCTGTAAACTGATGACTGTAACTGGCTGTAAACTGATAAACTGATAACTGCAACTGGCTGTAAACTGATGTCTGTAACTGGCTGTAAACTGAAAACTGTTACTGGCTGTAAACAGATAACTGTAATTGCTGATAACTGTAACTGGCTGTACGTAAAATGCTAACTGTAATTGGCTGTAAACTGCTAACTGCAAAATGTTACTAGCTGTAAGCTGCAAAACTGTTATTAGCTGTAAGATGCCAACTGTAAAGTGGTTTAAGCTGTAAACTGTGAACTTTAAACTGTCACTAGCTGTAAACAGTAAACCAGTCCTTGCAGTAAACTGTGAACTTGAAACATTTATTAGTTCTAAACTGTGAACTGTAAACTGCTACTAGCTGTAAACTGTTACTAGCTGTCAACTGTTACTAGGTGTAAACTTTAGTCAGTAAACTGTGAACTGATTACTGAACACAGTAAATAACTGTGAACTGTTATATATGAAGTGTGAACTGGATATTGTTAACTTTGAATTGTTACAGGCGAGCTGTTCACTGTAAATAGTGAAAATTTGTGAGTACAAAGTAAACTGTGGCTCAAAATTTTTAAACTGTGAATTGTAAACTGTGAACTGTTCGCTGTAAACAGTTATCCAGCAGCACCACTCACTGCAGTATATGTCATCCAGCAGCACTCTCTGCAGTATATGTCATCCAGCATTAACAATCACTGCAGTATATATCATCCAGCATTAACAATCACTGCAGTATATGTCATCCAGCAGCACCACTCACTGCAGTATATGTCATCCAGCAGCAGCACTCACTGCAGTATATGTCATCCAGCAGCAGCACTCACTGCAGTATATGTCATCCAGCTGCACCACTCACTGCAGTATATGTCATCCAGCAGCACCACTCACTGCAGTATATGTCATCCAGCAGCAAGGTTCTACTTGGTTCGAGTCTAGTCCCCAGAACTCCAGTTCTTCCTCGAAGAGCGGGCCACAAACATCCGTAGGATAATGTAGCTTCCCGGTGCGGTAATAGTTCAAAACCTGGCAAAATAAATGATTACGTCTGTGAATATCTGAATATATTATTGCATCTGGTATATGCTAAAACGACACGTTTGTACAAAGATTAGTTATGTAAATATCCGTAAACACATTGAAGATTCAATAAATAAATAAAAAGTTATTTCTGTTAGATTCCTTAGCCTCATATCGTCTTAGAAACTTAGTTGTACAAATAACAGTTATGTAAGAATAGTTTTGCTATTTTGGTGAGCCAAACTGGGTCAATATGATCCACAAAAGAGCAAAAAAGGACTCCGGAATTTGGACAAAGTTTTAATAATTTCTAGGAACGTATTTATTATAGCTCATGCGTCACGTCAAATAATACAATAGTGTTTGAATTTGAAAGAAAATTTTCAGATTTTCAGGCTTCAGTGAAGTTGCTCGCAATTGGGTTTCAGATTTAATAGAAATTGGTGCGGAATATTAGATTTTAAAAAGAATATTATAAATAGTTGTTTTAAATAAATCGCCGGCTTGTCTGTCGAAGAAATATTTGGTGAGAATGTGAGTTAGTCCAATATGTAACCGTGTGGGAATTACATATAATTTAAAATTATGTATGAGTTTCCTATAAACAGAGACACCGGAATTTCTGTCGAATAAATATACTTCGAGGACGTGAGTCGATCCAATAAACAATATAAGCATATCTATTAAAGTCTGTAATTTAAATATCACCACAAAGAACTTGTATGATTTAGATTAACATATTTAATGCCTGAGCAAAAACGCTGGAATTTCTGCCTAATAAATATTCGTTGAGGATGTGAGTCAATCCAATAAGTAATTTAAGCATATATATTAAAGTCCGCACTTTACATATCACTATGAAATACCTGAATGATTCAGATAAACATATATAATACCTGAGCAAAGACACCGGGGTGTCTGTCGAAGAAATTTTCGTCGAGGATGTAAGTCAATCCAATAAACAATATAAGCATATCTATTAAAGTCTGTAATTTACATATCACTGTAAAGAACTTATGTGATTCAGATGAACATATATAATACCTGAGCAAAGACGCCGGGGTGTCTGTCGAAGAAATATTCGTTTAGGATGTGATCGTAATTGCCGAGCGCCTCGGTGAGACGCGACAGACGCGTTGCGGGGATTTTTTTTAGGGTCGCCTGGGGAGAAAAAGCTGCGTTAGAAATCGACGAATGTAAATACGAATTACAGCAATATGAATAAACATTTTCTGGGGTAATAAACTGGGTAATTTTGTTTGAACTGCTTTTTATCATAGCTTATAAGCCATATTTGTTACCAATTAAAATCTGTCATCGGCGCCTTGTAAGTTTCATGACGATTGCCACCAACGTTCAGGACAGCCTTATTCTCAGCGTCCATGTTGCCAACACAATATTTAACAAAATTAAAGATAAATTTGCACTGAACTTTTTTTTATTGTTAATTAGACAAACTTTTTACCTTATAAGTTTCATGACGAATGCCCCCAACGTTGAGAACAACCCTGTTCTCAGCGTCCATGTTGCCGACACAAAATTTAACGAAGTTTCGACGTCACAATTTCAGGCAGCGCAGCTGTGGCCTCCAGGCGCAGACGTGTTGTCGTGGAGGCGGCAGGCGAGAAATTATCCTTCAATTTTGGCCGTTCTGCCAATTTGATTCATTTAGTTTTTTGTTTCATCTTCTTTTTGCTTCGTTTTCTTGAGGATTGATGCCAGCATTGAATCGTTAGAGGAGCCAGGGCCCCTCCCCTTCAGCTCACCATTCACGATCTTGGGTTATTCTTCAATGACGTAAAATTTAAATTCTGCTCTGAACTGCCACGTGTTTTACCTATGCCGACCAGCGGCCTGATGTTAGCAAAATCAACCATTCACTGCGTCATATTTTGATCTGCTCTTCACTTAAAAACATCAACTGCAAGGAAAAATATGAGGAGATAAAAGCCACAGTATTCGTTCAGCATTTTATCTTGACAGCCTCGGCACTGAAAATTTAAGTTTTCGTATCATATTCATTACTTTTGCTTTGCTACAAATTTTGTGACGAAATAACTGTATGAATTGTAAATCATTTGAAAATTTTTCAAATTCCTATATAAAATTTGATCATTATTATCATAGGCCAACCGTCGGTCATTAAACCATCCCTCATGACAGTCCATTATTTTTAATCACACGTTTTATTCAATTGTTTTTACTCGTGATTCCAAAAAGTGCCTATAGATTCCATGAGCTTTTTTTCTATCGCTCAACAAGAACAATCTAAGCTGTAACGCTTAGAAAATTAATGTTTAGCTTTTAATAGTTGACTATTAATATAATAATTACTTTAAATAGTTGCTTGACAAATAATATGTGTTAGAGTTTTGTCTCTTATAAGTACATTAGAACGTGTACGTAATGTGACGTTCATCATATTATGTCAATGTGATGTGAACAATGTGATGAGATTCATAGTGTGCTACAGTGTGCTGAAGTGTGCTGAAGTGTGCTGAAGTGTGCTGAAGGGGTCCTGAGTGCTGAGAAATGTGCTGAGATTCACTAAAGTACGATGTAATCTTGTGTGCTGATATGCGCTGAAGTGTGCTGAAGTGGTTTAGAGTGCTAAGAAGTGTGCCGAGATGCGTTGAAAGGTTCCTGAGTGCTGAGAAGTGTGCTGACATGCGCTGAAGTGTGCTGAAGTCGAAGAACAGAGAAGTATTTTTAAGTCCACGGGACCTTCCTCTGCCCAGTTTGTTCATCAGAACCTGGAATATCAAACCTTATATTAGCAAATTATATATTAATTAATTTCAATGATAAAGCAAAAGAAATAAAATGCAATGAACATACTAAAAATACATCATAAAAGATAATAAATCATCATTAAATTTGATTACGTTACGTTAATGTGCGCAATAATGAAAAATTATGAATAGAAATAATATTTATTCGATAATCCTTCTAATTGTGGCTGGATTCGTTTGTTTATTCTTTATACATTATCGAAAAATAGTGTCAACATTTAACATGTGAATATTTTATTTGAACACCCCGAATGTTAATAATAATAATAATAATAATAATAATAATAATAATAATAATAATAATAATAATAATTTCAACAATAATAATTACAATAATTATAGGAAGAATAATAATAATAGAGAAATAATCATAATAACCAAAAATAAGGCTAATAACTGTTGCAATGGTGATGTTTATTACCTGTAATCTTAGTAAGAGACATTTATATAATAATAAAAATTGATTATTGCGAAGTAGGGATTTATCAATTTAACAGAACAATATGCGTTGAAAAGTTAATTTTTATAGACAACACTTCTAAAGAATCCAGTGTCTCCGATGTTACACATATACAATGAATTTTTAATTTTATTCTCATATGTTAAGAAAATCATTTTTCCTTTTTTGTATATAAAATAGAACAACTTTTCCAAGTTATTTATTCTGTCAATTGATTCATGCATTGTCTCCAACTTTACGCATGCGTGCAAAATTTCAGATCGATTGGAGAGGTAGAAGTGTGTTGAATATTGATTATAAGATTTGTAGCAGACAGACAACAAGAAGTGAAGTTAAAGAGAAGTGTCGTGAAAAGTGTTGTACACTATTGTTGCTGGCTCTAAAACAGTAACAATGGTGTAGTTCTTCGAAGCAGATATGACAGCATTGCTGAGTTTTTGCCCAAAAATTTATATCTTAATTTTCGCAAAAATTAAACGTTAATCAAACCTGCCAACATCGCCTACGCAAAAATAAATGATTTCTTTTGTGCAAATAACGACACACTTTCTGACACACTGTACGACCGATCAGGGTAGCGGGCGTAGCACTGATACGCCCCTTTGCCGGGCCAAAACTGGGTCAGGATGACCCACACAAGGTGAAGAGCGCATCGTTATTTGGACGAAGTCTCACGCCTTTCAATGTAATTTTTTGTGGATATGTCTTGCAGAAGTTAAATTTATAAAAAAATTGAGGACTTATATTGCAGGCTTAAAATTTCATATATATATTCTGCTTTCGTAGTTTTTTAAAAGATATTTTGCAGCGTAATCATTGTCAACATAATCATTATTATCGTCGTCATTAATATCAACATATGCATTGTGATTAATTATCATTTTCGCCATCGTCATCGTATGATGAATTGAGACGAGATTAAAAATCTCCAACTAGCGAAATGAAGGAATGAGGAGGTAGGAATGAAGGGATGAGCAGGTAGGAATGAAGGGATGAGCAGGTAGGAATGAAGGGATGAGCAGGTAGGAATGAAGGGATGAGCAGGTAGGAATGAAGGGATCAGCAGGTAGGAATGAAGGGATCAGCAGGTAGGAATGATAGGAAAAGCAGGTAAGAGTGGAAGAATGAACAAGTAGGAAGGATGGGATAGAGGAATGAAGGATAAGAACACGAAGGAATGGACATGAATAAGGTAGGAGGCATGCAGGTATAGATATAAACAAGGCTGAAGGCTCGCAGGTATGGAAGGATTTAGGGATGAAGGGATGAAGCCAAACTAGGATACAGGAGAGCGGCTACAGCTGGCACCGTGCCAACCCTGGTGGTGGAGGGGTGAGGAGGGCGGGAGGGGCGAGAGGGGCGGAGGGGTGAGAGGGGCGAGAGGGGCGGAGGGGTGAGAGGGCCGTGATGGGGAGGGCCGACGTTGAAAGGGCCATGTTGAGGNNNTGGCCAATACAGCGCGGTGAGGCCACGCCAATCCCACGTGTTTGTGTGGCCAATACAGCGCGGTGAGGCCACGCCAATCCCACGTGTTTGTGTGGCCAATACAGCGCGGTGAGGCCACGCCAATCCCACGTGTTTGTGTGGCCAATACAGCGCGGTGAGGCCACGCCAATCCCACGTGTTTGTGTGGCCAATACAACGCGGTGAGGCCACGCCAATCCCACGTGTTTGTGTGGCCAATACAGCGCAGTGAGGCCACGCCAATCCCACGCATCCGTTTATTTATTTGCGGAAACTGGGCGAGTGATATTAAGTACTTTAACTATAATTCATAATTACGCATTCACAGGAAATGTTATTCAAATAATACGGGACGCACAAGGAAAAGTAATTATTTAAAATTAAAGATATAATTTAGAAATTCTAAGCTACCTAATTTTTTTTAATAAAAAAGTCAGAGGAACGTAAATTTTTAATAATATTATACTAACTATGAAAAATTAATTTGATATATTTGTTATACCGATGATAAATAATAAAATACGGATGAGGAAAAATAAAATAGAGAAATATTTGAAATGTTACATATACTTTTAATTCGAAATTAGGATTATATTAATATTCGTATTACAATAAAGGTCAGTTCATGGAAATGTTCATGATTAAATAAGGCATAATCATTAGCAGAGTAAATTGAATTGAATCGTATTAAAGATGTAATAAAATGTACAATTAATAGCAGCATTAGCAGTTGCTGGTTATTTGTTATAATTAGGGTTATTTGTTATATATTAATGACCACGACGCGGTGTCATAAAATACAATGCATTTATGAATCCCATCGATATTAAATTACAAGAACTTCAAAATATATTTAGATTTAGTGATTAATTTACAGACAGTGTGGACTATATTTAAACAGGAAAATTAATTTAAATTAGCCACCCATAAAACGGCTTTAATATACACGTTGCCTTAAAATAAAGATAGGCCAATAAAGATGGCGGCCGCCCAGACTGGCGGTGTGTTCACAGAATCGAAAGAAATTATGGAATTTCCGCGCTAAAAATCGGAGCGGAACCTGCGCGGATATTGCCGCGGAGATGCGGACGCTGGAAACTGCGCTGAGCGCTCAATTGGGAGCGTGGGACGCTGAATTGTGAGCGTGGGACGCTGAATTGTGAGCGTGGGACGCTGAATTGTGAGCGCTGAATTGTGAGCGTGGGACGCTGAATTGTGAGCGCTGAATTGTGAGCGTGGGACGCTGAATTGTGAGCGNTATGAAATAAAAATAATAAAATATTTATATAATATATGACCGTAATGATTGTATTCATATAGTTTACTTTAATGTAACATATTTATATAATATATTTGAATATAATGCCTTAAACGTGCTGGTACAAATATGTTTTGTTCGCCTATGAATAGAATGAGATATTGCGAAAATAATGTATAGGCGAATGTGAGTATCAAATCCCGTAGATTTATTTATATGTTGATGTTCTCTGGAGACCCTACAGTATATATCAGATACTATATGTAAGTTTTTATAAGAATTTATCATCCGGATATCATATATATAAGATAGTTTATAACTCATTACATCAGAATTCAACATCCTAATGACATTTGCACTTGATTATTATTTCCGTATAACTTACAACACATAACAATCTACTGGGAAATCCGGAGAAAATACATTCCTGGCCTGGCACGGGAAATTGCATAATTAATTTATGCGATACCAGGCCATTACCAAGATGCATTATTGCTCATTTTTGCGAGCTAATTCAGTATTTAAAGCAAAAAATGAAGGAAAGCCAAAAAATGAAAGCAAAATGCAAACTCAGTTAAATGAGCCAAATTAAACTAAAATATGTGATCTTCGTACTTGTTATCTGAGTCTCCTGTCTGAATCTTATCCTCTTTTTAATAATTCATCATTCATGTTATTGGCTTCTTATTCAGGCTCTGACATATTTATATGATCGATGCTATGCTTGTGATCATGCATGCACATGTTATTTACATTTATCAAGTTTTCATATACCGCTTCCAATAATTCATGTACTGTTCTTAATATTCCACGAGATGTGTATAAGAGACAGGCGTGCAGCACCACCACCACCACCATCATACCATCACCACCACCACCATCACCACCATCACACCATCACCACCATCACCACCACAGTTCGTAAGTCCATTTTACCAGCGTGCAGCACCATCACCATCACCACCACCACCACCA